TGAAGTTGCTGGGCGCGAGTTGAGATCCGCGGCGCGAGTGTTGATTGGCAACGCGCGAACCATGGTTCGCGGGCGAGTGCTAGGTGTTTGGCCTTCCTTAACCCAAATTGCTATACTTAGCCAATTTTTTTACAATTTTCGCTCAAATTCTCAACTCAACTTTCGAGCACCATTTTTGCTCGATTTTCGAGCCGTTTTTCAACACTTCGCCGCATCCAACCCAAATTTCAACATAAGCTCGGTTTCGAGTCCCGTTTCCTTCTCTAAAAATACCGTGTGTCATGTGGCTTGCGGGGCTATTTATTCTCGAAAGAAAGCGAAAAGTAAGAAAACGCAATAACCATGGGTTGCCTCCCACGAAGCGCTCATTTTATCGTCTTGAGCTCGACGTCCTCAAACCAAATCACCCGGGATCCAAAAAGAAATGACGATCATGCCACGCCTTTGTATTCTCCAAAAGAAGTCGGGTCGGGAGAATAGAACAAAGGCGGGCCCAATGAAATCTCGTGCCTTCATTCTTGTGAAACCGAGCACGGATATCAACAACCACCACAAGAAGAGATAATTCTTTACTAACCAAGGCCCCATCTTCGACCTCCGAAAATATGAAAATGTCCGTGGAGCACGTCGAATCGATCTCAATCGTCATATGTAACATCTCGGATGCGTACTCATTGATCTCAAGCATTGGGAGCATGGACGTGAACACGCTAAACTCTTCCACATGGTCACCATCCTCAATAATACGAAATGACGACCCCAAGGTCATTGGAACCACTTCATACCCAACATCACAAGCCAAATCCTCAATCAACGCACACCTTGGGTCCACGACATGACATGATGGCTCGGAATCCTCCTCAACAACATCCACCAAATCATGAGCTTCCGCTCCCTCCTCTTCGAAATCATCCTCCCGAGTACTATCACCTCGGTTACACACAATCGAATCCTCCAATAAATTATCTCCCATACCATTCACAATATCAACTCCGAAATCCATACACTCATCCTCAACAATAGAATTTAAGCCCAAAGCACTATCACCGAAAGAGAGAGTTGACGTACCTAATGTAGATTGCGAGCCCGGATCGGCAAGGGAGGAAATTTCTTTAACAATCAACTCATCGATATCCTCACTCGTGTGGAGAGGTTGAGTCCCGTCATAAACGAGAGTGAGGCCCATCTCTTTCAAAGAGGCAAACCTATCCACCATAGCTCGAAATTCTTCCTCTAACCGTGTACTCTCTCGAATAACTCTCGCCGATAGAGAACAATATCTACCGACTGGAATGTGAGATTCGTCCATGTCGAGAAAGGCTACCACGGTCGAGTCGAACTTCGTAAGTGTTGCTTGAAGAATGGATGGAATGGGAATGCACTTCCAACTGTGAAACTCCTCAATGATCGACATGAGGCTCGCAAGTGCCTCTTGAGTGCTCGTCAAAATCTCTTGGTGACGTTCGGTAGGCTCAACCGTTGGTGAAAATGAAGCTTCGAAACTTGATGTACACGGTTGGTCAACCGATTGGTGTTCAAATAATGGAGAGAATGGAGTAAAGGACTCTTCTTTTTCGGATATGGGAGCCATTGAAGCACGGAGGGATTGATTGCACTTCTCCAAATTTTTCATCATCTCGTCTAAACGGCTTGGAGAAGCTTCCCGAGTTGGCTCAGGCGGAGGTGTTTCTTCATAATAATAGAGAGGCGGGGGATAGAAGTGAGGTGTCTCATCATGACCCGGAGAATAATAACCATAACCGCCTCGAGATGTCGGGTAGAAACGTTTCGGGTCATACCCTTGGGATGTAGAGTATCCGTCACACGAATAGGAAGGTGAATAGTTTGGATACGGATGGGGCGGCCCTCCATACATGTACATCTCCTCTTGATAATTGTCGGGGTGTTCATGAGACGAGCTACCGGCATAAAAATAGTCGAATTGATCCATCGGAGCTCCTCAAGCGAAACACCTCGCACAAGAACAACAAAACAACCCAACGGCACACGAGGCAAAGAAAAGAAAATACAAAAACACAACTAACACAACAAGATATATACAAGAACACACATACTACAAGTCAAGAGAAATGGAAATTAAGCAAATAATCAAAAGAAACACGTAAAATTAAGCAAAATCCACAAAAAGCAAGAGAAACACGGAAACAAACGACAACTAGATAGTAAACTTGGCGTCCTACTTGCCTTCCCCGGCAACGGCGCCATTTTGTTTGTAGTATTTTTGGGCATGTGGTAACCGAGTTACCCGACTCGGGTCGTTCTCAAAGGAAGGCTCTTCGGAGCTTCGTTCACTATCTAGTCGTCAATTCACACAACCGAAAATAAGGTCCTAAACATTCTACTCGCTTGATTGTGGGTTGATTACACTAAATTATTCTAATAATTTAAAAGCAATTAATGAAAAAGCAAGAATCGAAAGAAATGTCGAACTTTGGTTGCACGGAGTCTCCACACTTGACGAAAATAAAAACAACAAAAAGAAAACATGCGAGCCTAGTGATCCTAGGTATCCGAACACGAGCCTTCTACACTAGATCATCCCGCTTCGAGAAAGTCGGGACCTCTATACTAGATAAGCACGTATCGAATCCTAACACACGTAAACAAGCAATGAAAATAAGACAAAGTCTAAAAACGATTCTAAACACATCATTCCAATCAAATCACAAATCGAAATAATAAGCCCTAAGCTAGGTACCTATTTTCCTATAGCAAAATTAAACGAAAATAATGCGTAGAGAATGAAATTTAGATAAAAAGAGAGTTGCCGGAAAAGTTACCGGAAAACTCGCCGGAAAATGTCAAGTGAGGACCTCCTCCAAACCAAGCAAAGAACAAGAGAGAAGGGAGAGGATTTTTCCCAACTCAAGAGTTGGGAAATGAGGGGATTGTTCCAAAATACACACACAAAGGTCTATTTATACATACCACACAAACACACACTAAAAACACACACATTTAATGAAATTCTGAAGTTCGCAGGTCTCGAAACAGGGTTCGCAGCGAGTTTAGGCATGGAATAGTGTAGCTGGGCGCTTTCGCGGGTCGCCAGTGGACATTCGCAGCGAGTCCAAGGATTTGGAGCTGGGGCATGCGTTTCGCGGGACGCGAATTGTGACTCGCAGCGAGTTCGCATGAATGGCAAGTGTTGGGCGTGGTGTTTCGCAGGCCGCGAATGTCTGTTCGCAGCGAGTTCGATGCTTCCTCCCTCACAATGCCACTTCGCGGGGCGCGAATCTCGGTTGGCTGCGAGTGCAATGATCATGGCACTACTCAATTTCTTCAATCGGGTGACCCAATCGATAATCTCTCTCTCGAAAACTCATATTGCTCGATCAAAATGGCTCGACTAACTCGTGTCGGAACGGCTCGACATCAAAATCATGGATAGTGGCTCAGAAATGGCTCGGACAATAACTCGGAAAATGGTTAGTTTCCCCAAACATGTATAATGGACCTACAAAACACACCAAAAGAGACGCGAAAATACGACAAAATACAAAAACACATAACGAGAACAAAAACACATAAAACACGATTAAATGGACCGGTTGACACAAAACTGAACCTAAAAACGCAAAACTAAAACACATAAATCACACGAAAATAAGCACAAAAACACAATACACACGGATCAAATGCGTGCAGCTCTTAAAATGCGTCCATCTCTTAAAATGCGGACAACTCATAGAAACTACAGACAACTAACCTAACTATTACTAACCTAGCAACTACAGAGAACTAACCTAGCTATTACAAACTTAGCAACTACAGAGAACTAACTTAGCAACTACAAAGATCTATCCTAGCAACTACAGAGAACTAACCTAGCAACTAGTAACCTAGCAACTACAAAGAACTAACTTAGCAACTAAAGAGAACTAACCTAGCAACTACAGAGAACTAACCTAACAACTGCATAGAACTAACCTAGCAACTACTAACCTAGCAACTAGAGAGAACTAACCTAGCAACTACAGAGAGCTAACCTAGCAACTATAGACAACTAACCTAGCAACTACAGAGAACTAGCAACTACGGAGAACTAACCTAGTTGGAAGGTTAGTTGTCAACGGTCAACGCCGAAAGTCAACGAATTTCGTCGGAAGTCAACGCTGGAAGTCAACGGTCAACGCCGAAGTCAACAGGTCAAAATAATATTTAAATAATTAAAATAATAAAAAGAAAAGAGTAAACCTTTGCTAGTCCGGTAATACCACCGATATTATCGGTCCGACCGGTAATACCGCGTACCGGTGGGGAGACCGATATGGCCACCGGTATAGTATTTAAAACATTGCTAAAAATAACTATGCTTGGAATATCCATAAACATATTACATATTTATGATCCTTTTTAAAAAGCATTAATTATGTTACATTTCGTTTATAAGTAATAATTTTTTCTCCAATCTTTCTTTTTTCCTTTTCTTTTTCTTTTAAAATTATAAAAATTACTAAAAACTTAAATTATAAGTAGATTTATAAGTCAATAATTTTTTTATTTATTATAAATATTTTATATATAATAATTAAATTAGTCATTTCTTTATGAGTTTAGATTTGACGCAAATATTGTACATACAAAATAAATAAATAATTATATTTATTTTTATAATAAAAATAAAATTACCTATTAGTACTAATTTTAAAAAATAAAATTATTAAAATTATTTTAACTTCAAAATTGTTAAATAATATGATTTTAAAAAATATTATAATGTAAGATAGTATGTCGTATAAGTGATGTACTCTATTTTAAATATAACTAAAAGTATAGTTATTCAAAAAATTAATAAAAAAATTAAAATAAATTTTCTTGTTATTATATTTTTTATTTTAATATAAATTTTTTAACACAGATTCATACAATACACGGGTATTATACTAGTATATTGTATATATAGATTTGAAACAATTTCGAGTTGAGTATTAAATTGGTTGAAACTATTTCAAATATTAATTTCATTTTTTTGAAAAGAAGAATATAGTAAATGGAAAAGTTGAAAATGGAATACGTGTTTTCCAAATCCGAAGGCAAACCGCAGAACCATTCCGCCTATTTCCCCTCATTTTTCCCTTTTTGATTTCTTCTTTATTTTTTGGCTCACCTGAAAATGATGGAGCAGCCCACCCCCATCACTAAGACAGAAAACGATGATGAAATGAAATCAGTTCCATTGGAGCCCGATGCTAAAGATCCGAACCCGTTGGCTGGAACCGGCCCCGACCCGAAGCCCGATGGCGGTGCCGCATTAAAGCCAGCGGATAAAGCCGATATAAATGGCCGCGGCAGCAGCTTTGATGGGGATTCCAAGGGGAAGAATAGCGCTGCGGAGGAGAGTGGTACTGACCCGGCGGCGGAGGGTTTGAAAACGAAGAAATCAGTGCGGTGGAGCCAGGAGCTGGTGATGGAAAAACCGATCCCGAGGGATTCCGATAGCGGATCCGGCAATCCGTACGTCAATTACTCGCCAGCGCCCGCCGCTAATTCCTCCTCGTTCAATTTCAAAGGTCGGCCTTCTTTTTGTTCCATTTGTATCTCTTCTGGTGTATGCATGTAGGGTTTAGATGCGTGATCTGAATGAAAAAACTGGATTCTTCTTATTGGTTTATGCGCGTTAAGTTTGGATGAGCCGTTTGTATTTCATTGCTCACATTTTAAAGCGTGAGAAGTGGATTTATGTCTCAATATACTTCAGTTTTCTTCGAATAACTGATTTTTTTTTTTTAAATTTTGGTTTCAAGCACTCTGAAAATCATTAGATATTTCCATCTAGTTTGAATCCTTTTGTTTTCAATTTCTGAGTGATTGTTATGAATTTCTGAGTGATTGTTATGAATTTCTGTTTTCTCTGAAGTTTCATCTGCATAATTGATTTGAGTGATTTAGCTGATTTATGCTTATTTCAGTTTGATTCGATGATATTGGGTGCGTCATTGGTGGTTTGTGGTAAATGCAATTTTTTTTTTTCTGGTTACTGGTTTTCAGAAACTATGGGCAGTGTGAAGGATGTGTTGGGGAAATGGGGGAAGAAGGTTGGAGAAGCAACAAAAAAGGCCGAGGATCTTGCCGGGAACACTTGGCAGCACTGTAAGGATTAGTTTTATTCGGTTTCTGGTTTTTCTTTTGTCTACATCATGTGTTTTTAATGACATTGATTGATGCTGAGCTCTTGCAGTTGATGACATTGATGGATGCTGTGCTCTTTGTTGATGTGTTGCATATTAATTGTTTTCTTTACAAACGAAGATGCTTGTCACATGAAACTAGATATGGCTGGATTATTTTTTGTCATCCTTCACATAATATGTGAATGTTTACACCTGTTTTATCGTAAAAAGATTTGAGACTTTTCTTGTTGGTATGGATCAAACTAGGCTTGCTTGAGAACAATGTACTTGGATTCTGTTTTAGTCAATTAAACAAGATAAATAGAACATAGGTATTGGAACCAGCTGTTTCATTCTCTGTTGGGCACTTTGTTTTGGTTTGTGTTGGTTAAGTTGTCAAACAGACCACAAAATTGAGTGCATTGATATGGATTAGTAGCCAACTGGATGTGGGTACATTTAACATATGTGTTCACCATATTCTTCTGAAGTCTTCTTACCCATGGGAAAAAGCATACTTCGGATTTAAGTTTGTCTATTTTTTCTTAGAATTTTATGATAGCTACTGGTGCAGTACGAGGTTAGGTTAAATCTTGGCAGAAAATTGATGCAAACCTTTGTGCAGTTTTATTCCTGCCATTCCTCTCCTGAAACCATATATTAGATTTTCCTCCATTCATGATAGCATCTCTTACATGCTATCCTGCAATGAATAATGGAGAAGAAGCCCTGTGAACAACTTTGCTCCCAGGCTGTTGGGTGATTGCTTATCCTTCTGTTCCTTTTCAGTTTTGGGATAAGCACGAATATATTCTTCTCGCAAAAATGTGTATGATCTGCTAGAGAAATTGGAATAAAATAAAACAATAGTTGATTATTTAGTTCTAAGACGGTCATTTTAGTCAAATTGTGATTGGATCTTATGATTGATGAGAAAACCAATGGTGATTGAATGATTGTATATCGTACATTGGAAGAGATGAGTGTAATGATAAAAGCTGAATTGTTGAATTTCTGTAGGAAATTTCACCGATTTTTTCTTTGGCAAGAACGCCCAAACTTTTCCCATCACTTTTTTTTTTTTAGTTGCATCTGGGATGCTCATTATTGTAGTCTGTTTCTTTTGCACTGAGTATTTCACATTGCCTTCTAATATTTCATAAAAGTGTTATAGCCTGACATAATTATTAAGAGACATCATTAAGCGAACACATAATCACAGCGTACAGATAAATTATTAAACATATTATATTGTACCTGCTGAAGGAAGTTCTTAACGTTATAGTGTTGGATAAGTGTACAGGTCTCTGTTGTTTTCCTTCTTCTGTCCTTCATTATAGGATTGTTGGCTCATCATATGATATGGCGTATATTGAGCCTCTAGGAAGATCTACAGTTCTACACTGTTGCATGTGGTGTGATTACTCTGTATATGTGGGTGGATCATATCGGTAGCTCAATGTTTTAAGCGTTTAGTTTATATGGAAATGAAGTCCTCTTCCTCTGGTTCATTTGCCCTGTGATTTGCATTACTATCACTTGTTTTGCTGCTGCAGTCACTCATTTGAATTTTGACTTATTATTCTCATATAGCAATAGGGAACTTGCATAAATGCAGTAATTATTCTTATAGTACTTATAATTTACAATAAATACAAGGGTCGGAGATATAAAAATGGAGGGATAGAAATATAAGAAGAAAAAAGGAAAAGTAGGGAAGTCTCATAAAGGAATGTTTAGACATATTTTTTTCCAATTAGTTAGTTTTACCGATAAGGGTCCTGAAAGCAAGTGAGCAAAGTTAGGTGTAATTGGCATTCTTTTGAGCAAATCATGAAAAAATGAGAACTAGATATTGTTCTATTAATATCTGAAGATTTTGTAGGAAGGACTGGCAATTTTCAGCGTATTCCTGTAACTCTTTGAATCTTGTGAGTGTGTTCTTATTTCATAGTCTTGATAGTTCAAAAATTATGCTTGACTAATAACTTAAGAACAAAGGATTCTTAGGGTTCCAGCATAAGGTCAAGGATAAGTACACACCTGTTGCAAAACTGTTACTCTTTGGCAGTAACTGGTAATTATATAATTTATTGCATTTTTCTAGTTCAGGGTACTTTTGAGCTTCTAGAATTGATGCCATCTTAACCCCTTGACGAGGTCAATCAAAGTGTGTTTTTGAACTTCATGAAATTGCTAAACATTTCGTGACTGTCAAATGCCGAAGAGACTTTGGTTGTCCACTGACCTTGTCACCTCTATAAATTCACTGTCTCTTAATCGTGAATGAGTAGCAGTGGTGTAGCTCAGATAATTTTATACTGGTGTACAAGCCCTATTCTCCCCAATTTCCTCGCTTTTCTTATGTGCTTTAGTTCCAAGTAGGATAGCTCTTCAATTTCCTTCTTTTTTCTTATGTGCTTTCGTTCCAAGTAGTATACCTTCTTATTTATGTATTTAATCTTTAATTTATTTGTTACCTTTTGCCTTCCACCTTGGATTGGTTTAGTGAAAACAAGCCCTAGTCTGGCGGATGCTGCCCTAGGAAGAATTGCTCAAGGAACAAAGGTTCTAGCTGAAGGCGGTTACGAAAAAATATTTCGGCAGACGTTTGAGACGGTTCCTGAGGAGGAGCTGATGAATTCATTTGCGTGCTACTTGTCAACATCAGCTGGCCCTGTCATGGGTGTTTTGTACGTCTCCACTGCAAAGCTTGCATTTTGTAGTGATAACCCGCTTTCTTACCAAGATGCAGATAAGACTGAGTGGAGCTATTATAAGGTATGTTTCTGGACGTGCGACTGCTGCTAAAACAGTTTTTAATTCATCGCGCAAAGCCTGGAGAAAGTTATATAATTATTGTAAAGATTATATTCTTGTTTAACATTTTACCCGTATTAGTTAAAAAATGTTGCATGCAATCTAACTTCAGAGAACTTTCCCTTTTTTTACCTCTTTTGAATATCCAAGTTTTAGGTGTAGTTTTTGCAATCATTCCTAGTTTTAGTTTTCTTAATCTTCTTTCGGGTTATAAATACTATTGGCAGGTTGTTATCCCATTGCATCAATTAAAAGCGGTGAATCCTTCAACAAGTAGGACCAATCAATCTGAAAAATACATCCAGATTATATCTGTCGATAATCATGAATTTTGGTACATGGGCTTCTTAAATTACAGCGGGGCTGTAGAATGCTTGCAGCAGGCCTTACAAGCTCGTGAGAATCATGCTGTGTAAATGTTGTCCATCCAGGCTTCAATCTTACAAATTTGCAAAAAGTCGAGCTTTTTTCATACTGGGAGGCGTACTTGGGTACTCTTTTGCCCTCACAAGAAAACACAATCTATATTCAGAATTCTCGATAAATGTGTTGTTACTCTGCCTTTGTTAAAGACGTGTGTGTGTGTGTGTGGTTGTAACATTAGAGTTAAACTTGAGAAGAAAGCATTTTTGCTAAAAAGACACAATTTACTTGTTGAGTTGGCAAAAGAACATTTTGTGCTTTTTGATTAACAATTCTTCTTGCATTCTCTCCACATGCTAGTTTGTTTCTTGGATTCCTTACAAAGAATTGATACTGAAAACATATGTTGGAGTCGGTTACTTGATGTACGTTGTGAATCGGAAAGCTTGTTTGAAATTTATGTCAGAGTTTTAATTTTGGTTTTTGCATTTAATTTTTATTTGATTGTTGATTTAGTGGAGCAATAGTTTTGGGTTGAGCTCATTGTCGTTATTTTTGTATTCGGTTCTTCTGATGTACTATTTATTTCTTATCGATTAAGGGGTTTATACTTTATATAGCTAAATGAACTGCCTGGAACATAGAGTTTGGTCTTTGAGCACTTGTTTTGGATGTGTAGTTAGTTAGACTATCTACATTTTACAGGGAGTTTACCTAACAGCATAATTTCATATTTTTTTTTTATAATGTATATGCCTTTTCAAACTGAAATATCACTTTGGAAAATAAAACAAACAGCAGTATGTCATTTCATTCTTAGTACGAAAACGTGTTTTTGTTAGAAAAAAAAATATAACGTCTGAATCTATATTACATGGTGTGTATCACAGAAGAATATTTCTAATATTATAATCATGCGGACAGTAGTATGGTCCATTCATTAAAAAAAAAAATATGAATTAGAAATAGTAAAAAAAAGCAATACAGCAGTAGGAATTAAATTAATGGTTGCCCGTATGTTCACGCGAAAATCTTTTCACATCCCATATCAACATTACATGTCCCAGACGCTATCAATATACTCCAAAAGTCGTATAAACGTGACCGCGGTTCAGCATTTTAGCCTGAATATGATATTCTTTTAGCTGTTTTAATCTTATCCTATATTATTTATTATATTCCTGTCACACTTTGTTTAGTTTCTAAATTGTCTCTGTTCAGTGGCACTGAGTTTCACTGTGTGCGCCTTGTAATTAACATATTTACTTAAAAATAACCAATTTAATTGGCTAATTTTTCATCTCTCGAGCTATGACTAAATTGTAGCAAAGTTATAATCAAGTACGACATCTGTAAAGGCTGCATCTTTATCTAATGTAGTATACGAGAATCATTTCATTATGATTTATTATATTTATTTAGTTTCTGCAGTTTGCGGATGATCTTTTTCATAGAGGGATGCAGCCATATGTGAAACGTTGGCATAAATAGTTACCGGAATATTACAAAAACTTTGTCCGGTTAAAAAAAAAATCATTTATTTTTTATACAAATATCCAACAGGTAGCTTCTCTTTTGCAGTTCGTAAAGTCGGGAAGATGTACTTTCAAGGTAAACATAAATTTTAATGGCATGTGCAACACTTGAGGAGATCATATTGTTTAATGATTGGAAGAGTTTCTTACATTATTGGCTTCGTTTTGTGTGAAAGACATTTTCGGGCCTGTTGTTTGGACTTTGGATCAATTTTTGTATTTGACCGTGGTAAACTTTTAAAATATTGTTTGGTAAGTAACTTTTCAACTCAGTTTGTTCTATCAAACACTTCAAATTCAAAGGGGGCTTTTCATAAAAAAAGGTTTTCCATTGACACTTCTTCTGTAGTTTTTTATGNAAAAAAAAAAGCAGAAAAAATAAAGAGAAGATCCAAAATAAAAGATATGCTCCACTCATAAAATGCAATACATTTAATAAATATTCTAAATTAATTTTTCTAATGAAATCTATATATATATATATAATAAGAATTACCATTTATTAGTAAGTCAATCCTTGGTCAAAGCAGATCAACATTAATTACATGCCAATTATAGTATCTTTTTAATAATTTTTTAATAAAAAACGCACAACATTAAATGTTGTTCTTAAAATGAGGAGTTTGTTACTTTTTTATTTTCAAAAAAGCGGGTTGCTATTTAAATTTGGTCTGAATATTTGTGATGGTTTGATACGATGTGCATATCAAAAGCTGATAATGCACGGGCTGCATCAATTAAATTTGGTTATTAGTTACAAGAAGCTATTTTTAAATTTGAATATAAATGTACATCACGACTGCTAATTCAATTAAATATCGGCCAATTATATTATCCAAATTTAGAACCAGATATTCGGCTAATACAATTGCTTTGCTTGGCAGCTTCTTTTTTAATAAAAAAATTACGACTGATTTAATAATAATAAAAAATTATGTGTTATTTTTTCTAACCATAAAAATATACTTTTGTATTTTCAAAATATCAGAAACATTTTTTTCTATAAAATCGACTAATACATATGTTTTGATTAGCAGATTTTATTTAAAAGAAATTACGGCTAATTTAATGGTAAAAATATATGAAAAAAAAATTATTTGTTTATTTATTTTGAAAATATTTTTTCTAACCATCAAACCGGGCAGTTTCAATTAAAAAAATAAAGTTGCGGCTGTACACGGGTCTAAATTTGAAACGGTCAAATTTTTTATGTGCTTTGTTTAAATTAGAGATTCGAAATAAGAATAATCTCCATATTTAAATTGATTTCAATTGTAAAACGTGATGTATACAAGATTTAGATAGATTTATCACATATCATTCTCTAAATTGATAATTTTTTTTTTTTAATTTCAAAATACCAAATCAAATTTTTATGGTCTTTGTTTAAATCAGACATTCAAAATATCTTAATCTCCATATTTAAATTTCTTTAATTGTAGAACGTGATGTATACAAGATTTAGATAGATTTATCACATATCTCCCCTAAATTAATGATTTTATATTTTTCTAAATTTCAAAATACCAAATCTTAAAGTTGCGGCTGATTTAATTATTAAACGATGTTTTGCAATCATAGATTCGGGTTATTTTCAAATTCAAAATTTAAATTGCCGATATGTAGATAAATTTGGACAGATTAAATACATATGATCCCTAAAATGAAGGATTTTGTTCCAATAAAAAAAATAAAATATGAACTTAAGATGTAGATTTTATTATGCACGTGTGATAATATAGTTTTAATGCTATGAAAGTCATATTGTTTACCCGTGCATCGCACGAGCTACGCATTAGTATTAAAGTATATGAATGCCAGTTTCCCCTCAATATAAAAGAAAAGAGGCACCTACCAACACATCTTTACATACTTTTACCCTTCCGTTTTGGTGACCAGAGAGATCGAGCAATTCGAACCGGTTTTTTTTTTTTTCATTTGGAAAAAGTTACAATCAATAAGCTTTTTGATATGAGAGACACAAGACAAAGTTTGTTGGGAAAATAGAAAATAATATAGTAAATACACAAATGTACACAATATACCCCTCCTTCAAGTTAAAGCATGAGGATTTCGTATGTCCAACTTAGCAAGAAAGAAATCGAATTCACGCTTCTCAAGCGCCTTGGTGAAGATGTCAGCGAACTGTTTCTCACGCTTCTCTATATTGTTCTATTGTAGTCGTATGAGAGAGTTGAGAGCATGATACATAACAGAGAGACGTGACATCACTGGTGTAATTGATGCTACTGTTTTGATTTGATAGTTAACATTTAAAATGTATTGGAGCGAAAATCGGTGGCGAGGAAATATATGATTAAATATAATTAAGTAATATCAATCAATCATTCTTACACACAACATCAACCTTAATTCACTATTCATCAACTCACATAATTTTAACTAACCATCACATCACATCTTCTCTCTCTTACTTTTACATCAAATTAATTTTAATCATTTTATTTTAAATATTATTTTAATTTACAAACTAACAACTAACCATACCAACTTTTTCAAATTTAACCAACCCAAACCAAAAAATCCAATCAAAACCAAAAATTTTTATATCCAATCAAAACCTAAATTATTTTTCCCGTCACGGATCATGCAAAAACGAAACGGCGATTGATGATGAGTTGTGTCCGACAATGGAAACCACAATGTGCCGATTTTCCCAAATATTGAANGAAAAAAAAAAAAAAAAAAAAGAAAGAAAAAACCGGGTAACCGTCGAAACCGACTGAAAACCGGCGAGTCAGGGCCAATTTAGTGAACCTGCCCATAGGAATAGCCGGACCAATTACAGGGCCAGTATTTGAGGCCCGGCTCGGTCCGGCCCGTGAACCGACCCGACAATTGGACACGTTTACAATCAGGGACTAAATGCTTAGTTAAAAATAAATTTATATTTTAACTACTAATATCAAACCCGCAATTTTGAAGATCTCGTCTCATAGGCTTCTGAATGATAAATCCACGTCAAGTATAATATTTGTGTGACCACACAATGCCTATGAATAAAAAAGCCCATCATCTGTTTTTTTATTTTTCTTTGTTTTTTTTTTGTTTTTGTTTTTTTCCGAGACAAAAACTGAAACTCAATGTGAAGGGATAAATAACAAGTTTCCATTTGGGTGCAAGGCTGATGCTAGTGAAGGAAACATATGAGTGTGTCAGCTCAAACATGGCAGCAATATTAATATTTGCAAAATCCTTTTATAATTGATGTTGAAATTGAGATTTCCTTTGGGAAAATAGGGGACCCATTTTTATTTTTATTAGAGCACTTGACAAATTCCATTAAATCAAATTCCATTAAATCAAATCAACTCTGTATCACCCAAGAATCTAATCAAGTACTCTGTAACCTCTGCAGAATCACATGCTTTCAACTTTGTGCAAAATGGGGTAAATGCTGAAATTGGTGATTATAATTATTATTGTGCTACTGTCATTTTGGGTTGAGAAAAATGGAGAAAATAATTTTTCTTAATAAAAGTACTATCTATATTTTAAAAGTGTCTTTCCTAGGCTGCACTTAGGTAGACCATAATAGAACAAAACCGTTTTGATGGATCACATCATTTTTGTACTCCTTCTAACAAAAAATCATACTTAAATTTAATTCAAGTAAACTTTTTTCAATATTATCAATATAATTACGTAATTATTCTTACGCATCACGTCAATTTTAATTCATTATTCTTTCATTCACATATTTTTAAGTATCTATGAGTTCTAATTATCCCTCTTATACTTTTATTTTAATTATTACATTTGAAATATTATTTTAATACATTCAAAATCTCACTCAATCTTCCACTCAATTAACTTTATATAAATTAATTCACTTTAACTCATGATCCAGTTAAAATTAGTTTTGATCCGTTACTAATGGCTCCCTTAGATGTAACTATTTTTATTTTGATAGTCATTCTATGTACTCGAATGATTAAGCTGTGTCTAGACAGATAAAACGATTGCGAAATTACTCACACTTAAATTGGATAGACGGTGGCGCCTGTTCCCTTATATTTGTTTCCTTTTATAAATTAATTATTTTT